CTTGTGCCGGCTCGATCCCAAGATGCGGTTTAGGGCTTAGTTGGCTAACTGCAGATGCGGCAAGCAAAACATTTCATCACAAGCTTTTGCGCGCCCCAACAAGTAACACCCTTGACTCCGTTCTGTGCCTACCTTTGCCCCGAGGGATGACTCAGATATCTGAATGCGTAATAACGGAGAAGTGTTGCGAAGTTTTCTTGTCGAAGTTTGATTAAAAGCATATCCTAACTGGCGTCCGAACATCTGCGGCATGCAAGCTGTACTTCTCCCTGCAACAGCAGGCTGAAACAAGTGCCAAGGTTATTTTCGGGATTGCTAACGCGGTTACTCGAAGGCAAGGGCTTCTATACGATTTACTTTCCAGGGCTAGTGTAGAAGGGTCCTTATCAGGATTACCATCATGGTTGCAACAGGGGCTGCCATAGCAAAGATGGCCAGCAGCACGGCTTCGCCAGCAGGCGCCGGCGCATGGCCAGAACTGAGAATCCTCGGGGTTCTGTAGGTCTAAAGTTTAGGGTTTAGGGGTTTAAGGGGTTCAGGGTTTGCGGTTTTGGTTTGCGGTTTTAGGACGAGGGTTTGGGGGTTTTCCGCGCGCTTCGCCGAGTCAAGATTGCAACTCGAGAAGGTGAAGCAAATTGAAGGGTTTAGGGCAGAAGCTTAGGCGCAGCAAGGAAAGCAAGTCTCGAGTTTGCAACCCTAAACCCTAAACACGAATCTCGAATGGGCTTCAAGGGTCGGGGTGCGCACCGATGTTCGGGACCTCAAGCAGGGGCAACCGAGCCAGGACCGGGTCATGCCTTCATCGAAACTTGAACTTTTTAGGGTTTAGGATTTAGGGTTTAGGGTTTAGGGCTTTTAGGGTTTAGGGTTTAGGGTTTTTAGGGGTTAGGGTTTAGGGTTTTTAGGGTTTAGGGATTTCTGTTCCTGGCATTTACAACCTCAAAACTCGCCCTTTCCTGAATCAGCAGTGAGCACTTACCAAGGACCAAGTCCCTGGACCCATCAACGCCGAGCGGCCTCGCAATTAGAGCTAATATAGGGTCCTTAATAATTAGAATAGGGTTTTGGGTGATATTATTATACTATAATTATAATAAGGGCCCCTAAAAATAGTATAGTGTGCCCCTAAATTATCCCAAGTTCCACGCATCCGCAAGCAAGGGGCCCTTCCGAGGCCCTCTGGGTCCAACTCTCTACTTTAGAGCCCAGGGTGTGTAGGAGTGGGTTTGCCTATAGTTTCCCTTGTATAGTTCCTTTTTTTGGTTTAGCCAATTTTATATTTAGGATCCTATAAGGTAACCCCCAAAAGGAACTATACTGAAGACTATAGGTAGAAGCTCACCAAGACATTTCGAAAACTCCCCGGCGTTCCTTTTTTTGGTTTAGCCAATTCTATATTTAGGATCCTATAAGGTGACACCTTAAAAAGGAACTACAATGGAGGCTATACGTAAGCCTCGGGCCGACTCTCTAGTCAACCTTGGCGCCCAAAATAGCTGAAGCCCAGAGTCGCTAAACTCCCTTTTGATGCAGGCTTGTGCAAGAAGGTTTAGGGTTTAGGGTTTGTGGTTTAGGGTTTGGAGTTTAGGGGAACTCCTCGTAGTTAGCCACTCCTCCATCGCCAACAAAGCTGAAAACCCTAAACCCCCAACCCTAACCAACAAAGCTGAACCGGGTGCGTGGCATCGGGGGTGGAGGCGGCTGCCCAGCCTCCTGGCTCTGGTGTACTGGGGCTTTGCGGTTGAAGGCCTAACAGGCGGATATTGATATATATATATATGTATATACACACACATATATATATATATACACATTATATAGATATAAATAAATAAATAAATAAATATATATATATATATAGATAGATATGAATGGCACACAGGCCCACCTAAACCCTAGACCCCTACACCCTACCGCTTTCGGTGTACGGCTCCTTGGCATAGGGCTTAACACGGTAGTTGATGCATTACACGGCACAGGAGGCCTATCCTCAGATCAGCCATGTGTTATCGCAGATCCACGCCCACACCTTCCATCATGTGCATGTAGAACAGTACAATACATCACAACCTAACAGAATGAAACAAGACAGATCACAGCATACTTTAATGCAGCAGGTATTCTAGTTTACCACCATATAGACGAACATGTATATATATATATATACATATACAGATATACAGATATACATACATACATACATACATACATACATGCATACATACATACATACATACATACATACATACATACATACATACATACATACATACATTACATACATACATAGTTACATACATACATATATACATACATACATAGTTACATACATACATACATACATACATACATACATACATACATACAAATATATATATATATATATACATACATGTGAAAGAAAGACTGTTTGTAAACAATAACATAGCATAGCATAACATTGCGGTAGTCTGAAGATGAATAAAACTCAACTGTGCGCAAACTAGCACATGAAAAGTGAACTAAAGTTCTAAATGCTACCTATCTACCAATCTGCGTATAGGTGTATCTTTGGACATGTGATTATACAAACAGAAGTTAGATAAACATATGCAGAATATGTCTGCGCACATATGTATATTTTCAAGCTTGCAAAAACCAGCAGGTACAGCTAGAAACCTTTACTGTAGGTGCCAAGAAGTACTAGTAGGTACTAACAAAAGTCTTCAACTATACCCAATCATACGCAACGAAAAACGACATAATATAATAGCATTGGAAAACAAACACAACATGAACTAATGTTTAGCAATACACCCTGGTGTGGCGATCAAAAGTATGACATCATAATAACCATCACGATGTAGCAACTTGATATAGTAGTCGGCTGTATACAGTGGTGCAGTATGTTGTACTGCTAGATTGCGCTGTACTTCACTACCCTTTCCTACACTAGCCGACACTTGAGGGTACCATCGTATGATAAAACTTGCTGGAATACCCGGTGACAATTTACAATTTAACATAACACTCACATACTAAGATGAGATGGCACGGTAGAACATAAACGAGCAAAAAACAATATAACATGACCAACATGTCACACCAGAATGTAACACACCATAGGACAACATCGAGCATTGTCAAGCCAATGGATGTGCAATATCATGTTGAAGAACCCGTGCAGTAACGCTGTTTACAAACCAACCCTTCAACTTTTCTGGGCTCAGGAGATCCTGCCACTTACATGTCATAGAAATGACGAGTCTCGCAAAGCAGGCTTTGTCACATCCGGAACACTAGAAGTTACACTTAAGCATCGGTTCTTGAAGCCAACTCAATGTCCAGTCCTGGTTGCCTCCAGAGTTCGAAAGAGTCTCGCAGGGTTTAAGCCCTAGGTCGTGGATACCTTGGAAACAGGATCATAACTAAGATAACTCTAGCCCGCACGGGTTGAACCTGTAAGCCGTCCCCTGCACCACTTACCCCTCCCCTGCAGCTACCCCTCACCCGCCAAACCTGAACCCTAAACCCCCTTGCCCTAAAACTAGAAAGCCTGAAATCCTAATCTCCCAGCCAACCCTGGGATTTACATCTTGCAAGGTTGTACTTTAACTCGAAGCTGGTGTAGGGTTTATATACACGGTACATAATATGTTCTGCACCTCATACTTGCTAAGTATGTAGGGCGTTCAGGCGCAGAAACTACATAGTTCCAAACTTAAGGGGTGCTAGTTAATTGTGCATTCGGAAGTGTAGGATGCTTATGATATCACGATACCTTGCGATGCAGACCAATAAGTATGGGGTCTCTAACTCTCCAGAAATTACGCATGCACAAGCTTCTGTAGTCCATCATATATCATTTGCTTGGCTGCAGAGATACATACATAAACAGCACACTATACTAAATCTGGCCTCCATGTGGGGCATCGCTGGGGCCCTCTGGCCTGTTGAGCTTGAGAGCATGCAGGCACTCAGTTGCTTAGGTTTAGGGTTTAGGGGTAGGGTTTAGTTTGCACACGACTTGTGTTCACTTAGAGGGTGAAACATACTCAACTGGCACGACCTTTCGTATCGCATTTCGTTTTGCATACCGGTAGCAACCGTCGCAGCCGTGGACGACATGGAGATCAAGGCTTTTGTGGGCTTGGGCTTCCGCTTCGGGCCAGGGATATTCAGCATTGATGCTTTCCTTTGGGGGCCTTAATGATTACCAAAGACCATCTTGGGGGGCTCCTTAGTACCATTATAGTATACTACGCCTCAAAGCCCTATTCTAATTCGTAAGGGCCTGAAAGGGATGAGGGGCTCCAGACTAGCTGGAAAGCTTCGGTGGGTTGTGACTGCTCTCGCCTCCCACATCGCAGAAAGGTATAAACCGGGATTGCTTTGAAGCTGGTAGAGGGTGATAACACGAATTGCACACTCTTCAAAGTACGACTCGCTTCGGGTGCTTGCGATTTCCACTTCACGTTGCCCCTCGATGGCATTCGAGCCCCGGGTGGGGCCCCGCGACAGCTTAGACCGAACTAGTTTTGGGTATGTCCAACCATCTGCCTTATCTCCAGGGTTAAAGCAGCAACAGTTTAGGGTTCAAGGGGATCTTCTAGCTCTCGATGGCTTTTGGATGTTGGGTCGGTGGTGATTCGGTGGCTTCAGAGCTTAAGGCTTGAAGAATACCTCGCAGGTTTCTATGGTTTTGAGAAGGGCGTTGCAAGCCCAACCGAAACTCTCAGCCCTGACGGATGAACTTCCAGAGCACTTCGGGCGGCGCCTGGCTGCATATACTGGTACTGGGCGTGCTCACTGAACTCGCCGCCCTGCGCATGGGCAGTCTTGAATTCTCGCAGTTCGCGCGCCACCGAATTCCCAAAACTTCAAGCCTCAAAGCTCTGAGCCATAAAGCCGCAAATCCTACCGCCGTATAGTAACCCTTCCAGTACCCTGTATAGAGCCTACCGATAGTCTCCATTGTAGTTCCTTTTTGGGGTTACCTTATAGGATCCTAAATATAGAATTGGTCAAACCAGAAAAAGGAACTGCAATGGAGACTATAGGTAGATGCTCACCAAGACATGTTGAAAACTCCCCGGCGTCCAAGGCGCCAAACCTTGGTTTGCAGCATGCAAAAAAGCATGTAATGCAGGGGCCTAAATAACTACTTATATTATTTTGGGGGCTCCTTATTATACTTATAGTATTATGGGCCCATTTGGGGGGTTCCTTATTATACTTGTAGTATAATGGGCCCCAAAACCCCATTCTAAGCATTAAGGCCCCTACATGAATTGCCGCTGAAACGATTCTGTCGCGAAGCATAACTCCCCAATGCTTCGCAGCCTCATTACTTTAGGGGCCTAAATAATTACCAATACTACTTTGGGGGGTTCCTCATAATAATTGTAGTACAATATACCCCCAAACCCTATTCTAATTATTAAGGCCCCGAATTACATCACACCCTTAAACCCTGAACCTTGAACTCTTGTTTGTCTCGCTGGAGTCTTCGGCGTCAGATCCTAGATCCAAGGCAGGGCTTCGCAAGTCGGAAGCCGTGACACCACTGGGTTTTTTTTGGTTTCGGGTTTAGGGTTTAGGGTTTAGGGTTTCGGGGATCAAGGTAACGGAGGTGTTGTGTTTGGGGTTTCATACATCATTACTTGGAGGATCATGGGACTTAGTAAGTAAGGTTATAAGTCCCTTATTGGGGGTTATAAGAAAATATAAGCATAGCTACCTTAATTATAACCCTACTTACTAAGTCCTATGATCCTTTAAGTAGAGCTGTACAGAAGGGCTCTTAAGCTGATGGGGCTCTGGGTTTTATACCAGGTACAGTACAGGAGTACAGGCCCCTGCTTGAAACAAGGGCAGAAGGCCCTCATGAGTCTCCTGGTGTGAATATATTATGGTTTAGGGTTTAGGGTTTAGGGTTTAGGGTTTAGGGTATAGTTATAATATAATCTGAAAGCCTAAACCCTGAACCCCGGCTTCCGACACACATTCTGAAGCCTAGGCCCCCAGACTAGGCGTCTCTAGCACACAGGGAGCTCATCACACTCACGCGCTCTAGGCAGGCTTGAGTTTAACTTGCATGACCAAAGTACAAAGCCCATAGGACCTTTACATGGCACCGAAAAACACTTCTCCTACCCATGGCAAACCGCATCGTAATGCCTTGCATGCATGAAAGATTGGCTTCATGAAGGGCTGTGTGACCACGGCAAGTGGCTAGTGCAGAAGGAGCCCCAATGCAGAATCCACGCTGCCAAAGCAAAACAGCCGAAGCCGAATCTTCCCCAAAATCGTTGCCAAAGTAGGCTTCTAGTGCCACTGGGCTTAACGGGAAACCGAACTCGTGGTGGTAGCAAACGACGAATACTAAGAAGACAAGGATCGGGATACACAAGCTCAGACCGCGTGGGGGTGGCGGGAAAGGCGGGTAAAGGGAGGATTCCTCACTTGCGAAGTGAAACCCTAAAAGCCTTAACCCCACACCCCTAACGTTCCAGCAGTTTGAGCCTGCCACTGGGGCGTTGTCATAACATGTCCGAGCAGCTTGAGGCTACTCTCTGACTAATGCGATTTGAGCATCGGCCGCAATTGCAGAGGCTAAACCCTAAACTCCACACCTATGTGGGTAGTTGTCAAAATTATGGTCTCTTGTGGGGTACCCTAAGTAATAGGTGCCGTATTCTAATAAGGACCAAAAAAGGGACCATAATTTTGACAACCACCCATGTGGAACACCGTCCAAACCAGCTGGTAGCAGCGGGGCCTTCACAGTCAGAGCAGGGTTGTGGGGTTTAGGGTTTAGGGTTTAGGGTTTAGGGGTTTTGCGTGACAAGGGCTCAAGAGAAGTGATGATTCACACATAATCATAGTATCCTGTCGTGCCAAGATGTGCTACGTCACCATGTTGAAGCTCGAAGCAGTCATATAGGGGCTTTTATAATCAGAATAGGGTTGGGGGGGTATATCATACTATAACTACAAGAAGGACCCC